CTTAAAAGCATTTAATTTTTTTTGATATGTACAGCAAGGAGATTTTTTCTGTCAAATAAAAAACTTACGAAATGCAGAAATTGTTGTTGAATCCCTGGGATTTTCTCTGCCTCTTCTGTGGTGTTGGCTTGTCAAACGAGACCTCTATTACATGTGGAGGTTTTTTAGTCTGCTTTGTCTTAACATTGCAGTTCTGGGTCTTAACTGCGTTAGTTTTTCAGATGTAGAGATTTGATTGCTTAATTAGTACATTGGCCCTCCCACTTTATAAAGCCACCCTCCAGGTTCTGAGAGTTGAAGCCTTCAGTTACCACATGGTGACAGCCAACAGCATATTTCTAAAGTGTATTTTAAAATTTAGTTAGAAACGATATTCTTTGCCCTTATCTTACAGTCAAAGTGGCTATAACTAGCAGGAGTAACATTGAGTAACAATAAGTAATTCTGCAGATCCTCTTTTAAAAAAAGAAATACTCTGGCTCAGTCAGGCGAAGCTGGGCAACCAGATAGAAAATACAAGAATCAAGTGAAGACACTTCTTTGTAATAGCCTGTAAATATGTACTCTTAGTTAGCTTTGCTGGGCAAAATACGTGTCAGGACCACAGCAGGATAGGACCAACTCAGTTCTCTGCCATGTTGGTTGCAAAGGGGACTCTGATGAGGCTCTGTTTGACGGACCCTTTAGTAGGAAAGTATGATTGCTAATGGAGAGGAAAGAGTGAGAGCCCAAAATTTCTAAAGGGAAAGTAGTAAAGGCATTGCATCTCATTATGGAAGACACATTTATTTTGGAGCAAGTTCTCAAGCGTGCCTGACAAAAATAGGGCACTCTTGAAAATTTAGTAAGAGTGGGATAAACAAGAGGTACCCCAGTGTTGCAGACATGGGAAACATTAGGATTCGCTTTCTTTCCTGTGGATTCAGTTGCAAAATTTGATATAGGCGTATAATGTTGATTACAGTGAAATAGGAACCCACATATATTTGTATCCTGACTGGCTGTATTGGATCCAGATGGTTGCCAGAACTGTTTTTGCCTAGTGAGTTTTCATTCCTTGCAGCCACAACATGGTTCAGGTGCTCTCAGTCACTTACATCACAAATTAAATTCCCTTAAACCCATTCCTTGACTGAAAAGAGAGAGAGTGTTAAGATTTTTTGTGTAAATGTGTTGGAGGGATGGTGGTGGTGGAGGAGGAAATAGCACTGTTGTCATGCCTAATAATAGTCGCTAGAGTCTGCTGTTGCACAGACTAGTGTGTTGGTCTTGCTTTACAAAGGAAAATGCATTTCTTGCCAGTGCAGCTGTTCAGATTGTGTACCCTCTTGTCCTGGCCACTTTGCTAAAAAAAAGCTTAAAACCACCACCCTCTTCCCCTTTACTCTTCTTTTCAACCTGCTTTTTTATTTTTTTAAAAAAGGTAAATGCCCCAAACGATGCTCCCTTTATTTCCTGCCCTGCCTCTCAAGATCTTGTGCTTTGTTGAGCTTCACTGGTCTTGGGAGAGCTGTTGCTAAACACTTCTCCTAAATTTGCTTCTCTGTACTTTGAACATGGTTGTTTGTTTTGCTCTTTCATGGTAATCCTGCTTCTGGGGCAACTTGTGACAAGCCTCAAATTGCCAACTTGCAGCTACCCAATCAATGCTTCTCCTCTCTCCTTCCTAGATAAAGAAAAGCATTTTATTTCCCATTGATTTCCCCCTCTAGACTAAGCATGCACGGTTTATTTTGTCCTTGTGCCATCTAACCTCCTTTATCATCTTTTGTGGCTCTCAACCAAGTCATCTCCAAAGGGCTCTTCACTCCTGCTCCACCTCCCCTTTGTGATGCCACATCACAAATGAATATGTAACACTTGAAATACCTTCCATGCCGGAAGAAACTTTTGAAATTATCTGCCTTGGAGACACAAGGCCTAAGACCTCTTGAGCTCACAGGCTAGCTGTGGCCCCAGCTCATGACTTGTGGGGGTGGGAGGGAAGATGCTTCTGCCAACCCAAATCTAAAATGTTAAGTTTCCTTCCTATTGCCTCCCCCCCTTCTCATCTGCTGTGTGCACTTCAGCTTCTCTTTCATTCTCCTCCGCTGTGCCAGTGAAGCTTAAAACGAGCTGTGCTTTTCAGAATGAAACAGAAAGCAGTGTGTCTTGCCAACTACTTCTTCCTCCTCCTTTCACACTCAGGTCCCAGGGCAATTAAAGCACAATGTTAAAAACGCAGAATCATAGAAATCTAGGGTTGGAAATGACCCCAAAGGTCATCTGGTCAAGTCCGCTGCAATGCATGAATGCAGGAATAGTTTAAAATAACTTACAATTGCAGAAATAAGATGGTGTGTGTGTGTGTGTGTGTGTGTGTGTGTGTGTGTATAGTGTGTGTGTGTGTGTGTTGTGTGTGTGTGTAGTGCCAGGGTGAAGAGGTGTCCTTTCAGCAGTCACTAAAAGCTATATAATGAAGTAACCAGACTTTGCTGATCTTAACCCATGACAGTGCCTGTAGGGAAGGAGGAAGCCATTCAGGTATTAAGGGCCGGTTATTTAGCACTTTAAACACTACTGTGAACACCTTGAATTGGGCCGGGAAATGAACTGGCAACCAGTGTAGCTGTTTTGAAATGGGGTTATGTGAGATCTAAATAGAACCCCAGCCAGTAATCTGGCTGCTGCATTTGGTACCACTTGAAGTTTTTGGGTAGTCTCCAAGGGCAGCCAGTTAACAGAGCATGGAGTGCAGTGTCCCAAGTTTTAGTCGAAAGGGGTCATAACTGGTGAACCAGCTGTAGCTGGAAAAAGGCACTCCTAGCCTTCCCCCCAACTCAATTGAGCCTCCAGTGATAGGGTTGAATTCAGGAACATGGCCAATCTGTGGACCTGCTACTTCCAAGGGAGAGCAACCCTATCTAGGCCAGGCCATCTCTACCTCCCAGACATGAGAACTCGAGACACATAACACCTTGGTCTTTCCAGGATTCAGCTTTAGTTTATTGGTCCACATCCAGCCCATCACTGCCTCCAAGCACAGGTCCAGTACCTCAACCACTGCTCCTGATTCAGATGGAACACACACAGGGAGAGTGAGTGAGTGCTGGGTATCATCTGCATATTTATGGCACTTCACTCCAAATTACCTGAAGACAGCTCCCAAAGCCTTCATACACATGTGAAGTAGCATGGAGAGGACTATACAGAATGCTGTGGGATACCACAATACAACTTGCATGGTGTTGGAACAGTGGCCTCTCATAAGTACTTTCTGGAAATGGCCCTGGAACTAGGAGTGGAACCCCTGAAGCATGGTGTCCCCCATCTCTAGAAGGATACTGTGGTCAACAGTAGCAAAAGCTACTGGGTGATTGAGGAGAATGAGCAAGGTCACACTGCTCTCCATATCTCTCTTGTGACAGATGCAATCAACCAGGGCAACCAAGGCAGTGATCAGGCCTGAAGCCAGACTGGAATGGACCCAAGGCTGGGCTGCTGCCACTGTCTCTAAAAAGGGGATATTTGCCACTGTGAAGGAGTTGTTTCTGGGTTCAGAGAGGTCTTCTTAACTTGGAATTGCAGGACTTGGAACATGGTTGAAGTTCAAGGGCATAGCAAGAGACTGGAAATAAACCTGTACCAGTCTCCTGACTGAAGTGAATGCACATACGGAATTCTATATTATAAACCAACTAAGTGTGTGTGTATAATAAGTGGCATGGTAACAAATCAAGGCACCCATCATGGTTTGTAACTCTGAAATTACAAGTGTTTTCTGAAGCCAAATGACAGTCCCTTCCAAAGCTTGACAGCAGAAGTTTCCTGGCCTAGTCTTCACTTCTGCCTTCTCATGGGACAGACAGGTCTTCATTAACCCCAGAAGGATGGGTGGGGGGTGGCTGTACCAACCCAGCTCTGGCCATTTGAGGGTCCCTTCAGGAGCCGATGGCAGGAAATTCCTGGCCTGGGTTTCAGGGCATACAAGACTTTAAGTAGCTCCAAAGTGTGTGTGTGAGTGCTGAGTGCAACATTAAGACAGATTCAAAATGGTGGAACAGAATATTCCGCTCAGCGCTTCTGGTAAAATACTACCTCTTCCTGTTTTGTGATTCTTTAGTTACAGAATTCGGAAACCTGTGACCCACCAGATGTTATCATTGGACTCCCAACTCCCATCAACCTTAGCTAGCATGGGTAGTGCTCTGGGCTGATGGGAGTTTAGTCCAGAAACATCTGAAGTGCTGCAGATTCCCTGTCCATGCTTTACTTGAACAGCCACCTTGTTTTTACCCTGTTTTTGCATTATTTTGCCTTTGACCAGTAGTTACCAAGTGTTTTTCCCCATGGACCACTTGATAGTCGCTTAGGATTGTGGCAGACTACTTAATTATTTTTCTGCCTGCCATAGCAGCTGTAATGCACTGTGCCAGATGCTTATTTTTAAAGGTATTTTTACGGTTGCTTTAATTTCTTATATATTGTATTACAATCTGAATTCCATAAAATTCAGGTTGTAAAATAAGTACGAGAAACAATAAAATACAATTAAGAACAAGTGCTGATATTTAATGTGATGAATGTGCTGCTGTCTCCCATCCTAAACCACAAATCCAGTGTCACAATGTGGAATGAAGCTTGTTGACCAGTTTGGAAACCCCTGCCTTAGACTACTGGTTTTAAATGGAAAGTAAGAATCTCAGTGCATGAGATTGGAGTGATGAGCAGAATACCCCCAGAGTTTGATTCTGTGTTGCCTGATTCATTTTTTGTGCCCGTTTGCCTGTATCATGCAGTGATGCTGTGAATTTAGTAGTAGGATGCTTTCAGCTGTATGTGGATCAGTGGATTGGTTGCATGTAGCTGTTTGAATCCAGAGTTTGTAGTGCTGATTCTTAAGTGAAAATTCAAAAATGAGATACACTTGTGAAATTCTGCTCCTGTTTCTTCTCCCCCCCCCCCCGTACCTTCCGGCCAAGCACAGCTTCCCCCACTCTTGTGAATAAGTACAAAGATGCAACTGTGTTGAAAGTTTATTTTCGTAATGCAAGTGGTCATACAGTACATCCTGTAATACCTGTCCCCTCTCCTTTTAAGCACATAATCACAGCTAGTGACCTTCAGACAGTTACCCAAACAACGAAGGTCTTTAAGGGTATGTTGGTCATGGGGTGTTTGCACATGTATGGCCAGCTTCCATATACATGTACCAAGCATCATGTGATATTTTACTCACCCCCTTCTCTGCCCCCAGCAAATTCCCAAACCCTTCTACTTTCTAAAAGCATATTCAGGTAGGGGTGTGTGGCAGGGTAGAAGGTATCATGCACAGATTGTAGCAAAGTTGGAAAGAGGGTATTGGCAGAATAACTTCAGAGCATCATTAGTTGATGCCAATAAATGGGCCTTTCCCTCCAGGTCTTGTTCTCCACCCCTACCTCCTACTTAGATTCAGTTATGAGTCACATGTTACAAGCATTATTGTTGGGAGTGTCATGTACTATATTTTGGGGAAAGAGATGCATCTGTATTTGAGTGACAGTCCGGCTGTGTGTGTGTTCAACCATGATGCCCTCCTGTCTACGGCCACGTGGCATTTCCGCCTTCCCCTGCCCTCCACCCTTTCCCTGGTCTTGTGCCAGTCTCCGCTCCTCCTTGTTGCCTCCGTTGCTCACAGTACACTCATCCATAAAGTAGGAAACACTACACTTGGACACGAGCGTTTAGTAGTGCTTTCTACTTTATGGATGAGTCCACTGTCCATAAAGTGCAGCTGCTGGTCATGGGTTGGCTCTCGGCGTCTTCTTCATCTGTCGCTGGCTGTTTGTGAGCTGGTCCCCACCCCCTTTAATCTCCCCTGCGCCCGCCCGCTGGCAGCTCCCTGGTTGTGAAATAACAGAGAGATACTAGCAGGAGGGGAGGTTTGACTTACCCTGCCTTGTGGGTTTTGGGTGAGACAGCAGTTTTTACAGAATTAAAAAACGTCCTTCCTTCCCCATAGGGCTCACAGACTACATAAGGCTTTATTCTGCATTAGGAAGCGAGGAACAAAACTGAAGGAGACTTGCATGTTCAGCAAAATATTGCAGTAAATATTTAAAAGCTCCTTTACACCTGCAAATACTTACTTGCCTTTATCCTTCTCCTTCTTCCGTGCCTGGTTCCTTTCATTGTCTTTGGAAAAGGGGCCTGCCTCTCTTTCTCTGCAGAAAGGTAAAAGTTCATTTAAGGCATATGCACAGATAAAAACTGAAAGAAGCAAAAACGAGTGCACGTGGTTCGGATTTTCAGATGGTCATTGGAGCTGGCTGCCTTTGAAGAAAGGGCAAATGAGAACCCACTTCATGTGGCAATTGATGGCATGCTGATGCCCTCAGCCTGCCCTCTTTCTCCTACGGGGATGTTCTGAGCCCAAAGTAAAAGGCAAACACAGCATTGGCAGAGCAAATGCTTCTGTGTTCATCCCCTTTTATCCCACCACCCAGAGGACGCTTGCTACCATAATCCAATTTCTTCCCTTCCCCTTTGCTGTCTCTTGTGCTTGGAACTCTCTTCCCAGCACAACTATGAGAAGTCCCCACCCCCCACCCCTTCTATCAAATCACTCCTCGAAATCCACATTGTTTGTCAAGCATTTGGCACGGTCCCTTAATCCCCATATCTTAGATCTAAGTGTGTACAAATAAGCCGGATATATATTTTTCATTTGTTCAATCTCAACCCCTTTGTCAGATATTAGATTGTAACCTCCTTGGGGCAGGGACTGGCATTTTAGTTGCTGCTCTTTAAAGTGCTGGGCACATTGAGGGTGACTGACCTATTCATAATCATAATGGCAAATAAGTCTGGGGAAGTTTGGAACAGAGGATCTGACTTCCAGCCACCTCTGATTTCTCTGGCTCCGAGAATTGATAATAAAAATACACGTGTCTTGGTTCACCCAACATATGAGCGGAGGGCATAATCCAGATATCCTACTTGAAACCCCATAACTCAACTAAAAGATTTCCAGATAGTTTCCCTCGCTGCTCCAGATCCTATGTTCTGCTGTGCTATAACTACTTAGAATTTATTTCTCACATGTTTAAATCTAGAGGGTAGTTTACTGGGGGACATTGTATTAGTGGTTACTTACTGCCTGTTCCTGTGGCTTTATGAGAAAAGCTCAACCATTTTTCACTAGTGGTGACAAACTGAATAGGGAACTAAGTAGAGCATTTTAATGAAACTAGCTGAGTGGGAATTTTTTGGCATTGCTTTTTTTAGTATTTAACCCCTTAACCAAAGATCTTATGTTTTCCTGAGAGAGTTAAAGAAAGAAATGTTGTGGAGACTGGAGTGTGTGGCTCATCAAGTCTGGAGTAGGTCTCTGCTATTTCTGATGAAATTTAAGAGAGATGAGCAATTGGCCTTGAAGACCGAGAAAATTGTCTGGGTAGAGGCTTTCTATAACCATATATCAAATTCTTCTTCCTCTTCTTCTTCAAGCCGGTCCACCAAATATTATGATTATTTAATTTGAATTTTACATGTGGGTTAGCTATAGTTCTGTTGTTTTTTTTGTAGTGCACACATCACTGAGTTTCAAAATTATAAACATTTAAAGGTTTTCAAGGCTAGCATCCAATAGCCCATGAAACTAGTTGGTGCCAGCTAGTTGCATGGTTGAATAATTTGAATACATCTAATAATTGCCTCCTTGCTAGAAACATGCAAGTGATTAGCGGGCTGTGGGCCAGTTTAATGGGCGAGACAAATGTAATGCCGGTGGATCTTGTGTGTGCTCGCGTGTGAGCGGCAAGTGTTAAGATGTAAAACTAGGTCAGTACAGATGCATTGCACGAGGCAAAGTAACTCCTTAGATCCCTGCCCATATAGGCTACCATAAGGAAAATGAAAGTGTATTTTTAAAAAGTATTTTGCCTCCTTCCCAATCCCAAAGGGACAAAGCTGCAGTCAATCCCAAGCCCGTTAAAACAACCATTGTATTTCTAATCAAAGCATTATTATTATTATTATTATTTAAAAAACGTTTTAAGTACTGTCCTTTAAAAAAATGTTATAATGTGAAGTTTTGGCAGGTCTCCTAATTGAGAAAATTCTGCAGAATTGGGGTACAATGAGGAGGACCCTGCTTTTCACCCTGGTAGATCTTAGTAGAACAAGGAGGTGAAGGTTGGGGAAAAAGGGCCTCTGACACTAAGCGAAATTCTTGGGATCTCCCTTCCCATACAGAATTTGCAGATTCAGGTAGGCTACAAAGTGGGGACGTCTGATTGTAATGCACTATATTGAACACAGGCCCAGTCATGTATGGCACTCTGAGAAGGGCTCATGTTCTGCAAAACTATCTTGAGAATATGCTGGGGTGGGAAAATTTATTCTAGGTTTTATCTCGAATAAACTACAGGTATTGTGGAAATGGCTTAGTCTTGTAATGCTTTGGTTCTAAAAGAACTAGGCAACTTAACTGCAGCAAACTTGGCAACTCAGGAGTGTTGGTGTTTTTTTTAACCCAACCTATAGAACAGTTTACCTATTTATATACAGTGTAAAGTTTTCCTTTTAATATATCTGCATAGAATTGTCTTCTAAGTTAAGGAAATTTAAGGAAATTGGCAGAGTAAATAGATTATCAACTAAGATTAAACATATAAAACTATTAATGTGTAAACAGGCCTTAAGAACCACTTACTTGGAAGTAAGCCTCGCTGATTTCAGTGGGACTTACTCCTGAGTAAAATTCCATAGTATTGTAGCGTCAGTTCAGTAATAAGGCCACATTAAACTTAATGAGACTTTCTTTAAGTAGACACACATAGGACTGCACTGTCAGACTTTCCCCATAATAGATGCAAAATGGTTTGTTCAGTTTGATGCAATAATATGTGGCTATACCTTTGATTTCAAGAGAGCAACAGAGAAATAGTTGGAGCTTTCCTTCCACAATAGCTGGGGTGGTTGTATCCAATGTTCATCCTACACATGGCAGACACATGGAATATAATTAGCATGACTAATTTAGGTTCATTAATTTCAATGTGTCTACTCTGATTAGAACTTAGTTGGATGCAACCCATTTGGTTTAACAGAAAACTTAATGAGGTTTTGTTTTTTAATATAGTGACTGGTATTCAGGGGACATTAGGAGTCTGTTTGCTTTCATTTGCCTAGATGGCGGGCACTAGGTTGGCGAAGGCTGATCTATACGCTGTATCTCTTGCCTTTCCTGTTTTCTATCTCTTACTTTCTCCCCCCCCCCTTTCAGCAAGTTCCTGTTTGGGGTTAAGACTGAATCCTTCATACATTAGTTACTTGCCCCACAACCCTCCCTGAACACCTTTATGCAAAATTCCCCCCGGCTTTCCTTCTGAGCACGTCTTGGGCACAGCATGAAGGAGGCCTTATCTTCACTATCCACATGCTCTAAAATGGAAAATAACCTGAAATGGTGTTTATTATCCCTCCTCCTTACCCCTGTTAGATTCCAAAAGTGGGGAAAGGATCTCCATGTCCCGTATCTTACCAACTGTCTTGGTCCATAGACTTCTCTTGGAATGAGATTCACGATGGCAGTGGAACTGTCCTCCAAGACCCCCAGGCAATGATCCCAGACCAGCTCATGTTTCATCAAAGAGACTCTTGTGGTCAAATGCTGCGGGGACGGGCATTCCTGCCAAACTCCACACATTTCTGCAATAGAAAGGAGCTGCCCTAAAAACCAGAGAGAGGAGGAGGACAGGTTAGGAAAATGGCTGCAAGGTCAATCAACTGTTGCTTGCTTGAACAGAGGTGTTCGTCTTCTTTCCTATCAGTAGAGGGCAGGCATGTTGAAATTTCACAGCGCCCTTTCAGTGAAGGGCCTGAATAAGCATGAGTGTGCACCCACTGACTGTGCACAGCCGCCATATTTCCCCTTTGCATAAGCCACCCGTGTGACATCTTTCGGAACTTCCCTATTCTTACTTCCCAGTCTACGCCTGTTTAGGAGGGCTGCGGGGTGGGGAGTTAGAACTAATAGCTTACATGCCGATGAACACCCCCGCATGCTCCCAATTCCTCATGCCCCTCTTTAAAAATACAGGTTTTGTTCTTCGAACAAGAAGACGGACTAAGATTAGCTTTGGCCCAGATCCCCATCCTTCTGTCTCCCAAACACCAGCCTCATTCTTCCTCTTGTTCCTTCCTAGACATGATGATAGAACTCCAGGAGTCCTAGAGCATAACACCCACCCAGCGCATGGATGCAGCGTGCTCTCTCCAAGAGCCTCAGCCGCCTTATCTCTCATTGCACAGCCCTTTCCTGCCCTCCTGCATTCCCAGCTAGAACCCAGGACTCTTCAGTCAAGTAGCCCCGCTCTTCCCAACTCCCCGCCCAGGGATCCACAGCAGTCTACCTCTTGGGTCGCTTGCAATCTACCGGGCCAGCCGGGGAGACCAGTCGCCAGCTGAAGTCAAGAGATGGAAGTGCCAGTGCTTGGCCCATTTATAGACGCCTCGCCGCACTGAGCCCGCCTCGCGTCTCCTCCTACTTGGGGAGAGAGATAATCACATGACTGTTTGCTATCTCTCCCCTCCCTTCCCCAAACCACAGGAAACGACAAGAGGCCTCTCTCCCCGAACTGGGGCAGGAAATTGCAAACATCCCCCCTCCTGCCCCGAGCTCAGAGTCTTGCACACCCCTCCCACCTGATGCACCCAGGAGCTGTGGTTGATCTCTTTGTGGGGGCAGCTCCTGGCTAGGTTTGCCTCCAGCAAAACGAAGGGGGCAGAAGGGTCCCGGGGGGCCGCAGACACCTGCATCCTCTGGTAAAGCTCAGGGCGTGTACATGTGGAACAAAGGCCTGACTATAGAAGCATCTTACGGAACTGAAACAAATTTCTCTTGAGCCCTTTCTTTTTGTGGGGGGCGGGTGGAGGAAAGGGGAGGCACATCTGGGGCCCTTTCAGGGCTGTGTTTGGGGACGTGGAGCTACAACTGTGCTATCGGGCACTTTATATGAATGAGTTCTTAGTGAAGGCTGACCTTGCAACAGTTGGCTGGTCTCTGTCACCCATGCAGTGTTCAAATGCAGGTTTTCCTGTGCACATGTTCTGACCCTCTCGCAAGTGTGTGTCTGGCCCTCTTACAAGTGCCGAAAGCAAAGCTAGCTTGAAGGGTGTGGAAGTTGCCAAAAGAGGGGCAAATCTTCTGCTGTGCTCCTTCTAACCCACTTCATCAAAACTAAAATAGACAGGACCTTTGGGCTTGGCCTAGAAGTTGGATGGTGTGTATGAGTGATTGTCTATTTTATGGTTTTGGGAGGCAATACAGTCAAATCAGGGTTTCCCCACAAGGGCTTCTGGATGTTGTTGCTTGCTGACATTCCTCACCACACTTCTGTCTCACTGAGTAGCTCATTACTAGGTGGGGAGAGCAAATAAAATCCTCATGAGATTGCTTAAAGTGCTCCCTTTCTTACCCTAAGTTAGCCTTTCCTAGCCTGGTGTCCTGTGTAGGCTTTGGACAACAAAGCAAGCTGGAGCTGATGGGAACCGTAATCCAAATCATCTAGGGTTTGACAAAAGCTGCCCCAGGTTATCTAATAAGGGCCCTGAAGTGAGAACTTGTGCTAGCTCACAACACTCTTCCTCATTCACAAAGTGCCTGCGTGCTAATTTGTGTTGGGCGTACACATGTGCCCTGCTTTGCAAATGCACTTTTCGAAGTAGTGCAAAGAAGCTGTGCTGAGGTGTAGGCAGGGTTTTTTCTGTAGTGTAGGCACGTCCCAACAGGTAGATCGTGATCTCCTGGTAGATCACTGGACGTCTGCGGTAGATCACTGGTAGACTGGTAGATTGGTAGATAACTGTCTCCCCCCAAAGAAGCTCAACAACTTTTGCTCCCCTAAAAAAGCTCAACAACTTTGACCTGAACCCCCCAAAAGGGGGTAGATCACTGCCAGTTTTTAACTCTGTGAGTAGATCACAGTCTCTTGGCCACCCCTGCTGTAGTGGAATCCATGCTATGGAACATGCTTCTTAGACATCCACACTTGGTCCCATCTCTATTTCTCTCCCCGCACCCTACCCTCTGCAAGTTGAGATGTTCTTATTTAGGATAATCCTTTCTATTTGTGTAATGATTGGGTAATGTTAAACTTCTGCCCAATGGCTTTTGAGATTCTCTTAGTCAATTGCAGAAGTCTTTCCTCTTCCAGTAGTGTTATGTTCCTACTGTGTGTTAGTTTTGCAGCCGGGAGGTGTTTCATGGTGGCTTTTGGTACTGTGCTTATTCTACTTCTGTATTTTGCCTTGAATAAATATGTGTGTGTATAAATACTCCTCGCACACTAACTTCTGCATGTGAGTTTGTGTATGTCCAGGCTCTGGTATGCAACCATATATTTAGCTACCAGCCTTGGATAGATCTGGAGAGGGGTATAATCAAACTCCTAGGTTCCTATATCAAATTTCCAGGTAACCTGCTGGCAAGAGGAGTTGTTTTGACTGCAATTCAGTTGACAGAGAAAAACAAACACTCTGCAACTTTTTTTATTGAGCAATCCTATATCCTGTCTTCCTTTCCCCGCCACTACACCTGCCTGCAGCTTTGCTTAGAGCCCAGTGATAATTTTTCATGATATTCTCATGGTTTTGGAAGAGGCCTCTTGTTCCTGCCCTCTCCCATCCTATATGTCTTAACTTTTTCTTTTGGTTTCTTTCCCCTTGTATTTTCTTTCTGGTCTCCTTCCTTTCTAGATCTCTGCATGCCTACAGCAGGTATGGGGAACTTTGGTCCCTCCAGCTACTGCCATTGGCCTTGCGGAGACTGGTGGAAGCTGTTGTTCGGCAACATCGGGAGGGTCACAAGTACCCCACTACTGGCCTTTAAATGTTGTTTTTCAGACCCTCTCTGCCAAGAGCTCTTGCAAATCTGCTATGGAGTCCCATGGATGTTCTAAGGCAGGGGAGGTGCAATGCTGATCAGCTGCAGGCAGCATGGGCAGCAGCCCTGGCATGCTGGGAGTTATAGTAGTCCATCAAGATCTGGACAGTCACAGGTTAGCCACTCCTCTTGGTTCATGCAAGGGCCTGGCTCATTGGTAAGGATCACAGCTCAGTGGTGGAGTGCATAAACTGTACACTGAAGGTTCCAGGTTCAGTGCTTCAGACTCTGGAGAGTCAACTAGTGTCATGGACTGGCTGGATGCAGAGGAGTGGTCTGAGGCACCATTTTGGGAAACCCCAAGGGAAGAAGGCTCAGAGCCAGGGGATTGGTTGTGGGACCACGATGAGTAGTCAGAGGGAGCAGACTGGGAGGAGGAGGTGTTGGGAGATAAAGAGGGTTTAGTGAGCAGGAAGAGTCTGTGGCAGAGAGCAGTTCAGAATACAGTGTTACCTTGGTTTACGAACTTAATCCGTTCCGGAAGTCCGTTCTTAAACCAAAGCGTTCTTAAACCAAGGCGTGCTTTCCCATAGCAGCGGGGGACTCAATTTACAAATGGAACGCACTCAACAGGAAGCAGAACAGGTTCTGCTTCCAAGGCGAAGTTCACAAACCAAAACATCTACTTCTGGGTTTGCAGCGTTCTTAATCCAAGTTGTTCATAAACTAAGCTGTTTTTAAACCAAGGCACCACTGTAAAAGGCTGGAGAGGAGGGGAGTCAAGAGGCAGAGCCAAGGCGGGCTGCTGGAGAAGCCAGGGCATTTCCCTCTCCTGTTGCAACCAGCTGCCCTCCCTGCTGGTCTCCCAGAACCTGAAGAGGTAGGAAGAGGACAGAGCAAAGATAGGATGCCAGAGGAGGAGGAGGAGTTTTGGATTTGATATCCCGCTTTATCACTACCCGAAGGAGCCTCAAAGCGGCTAACATTCTCCTTTCCCTTCCTCCCCCACAACAAACACTCTGTGAGAGACTTCAAAGAAGTGTGACTAGCCCAAGGTCACCCAGCAGCTGCATGTGGAGGAGTGGAGACACGAACCCGGTTCCCCAGATTACGAGTCTATCGCTCTTAACCACTTCACCACACTGGCTCAGAGTCTTATATTGCTTAGGAAAGACCCAGGAGGAGGAGACTTTGGGAACTTCAGTCGTCGCAACTGCCTCACTGGGGCAAGATCTACATGGAAGAGTTACTGTATTCACTAAGCTTGGCCTCCTGAGCTGTTTGGTTTCTTTGACTAAAGAGAATTAACTTTGCTGGCACTGTGTGAGTTAATTCTGCTCTGCTCCTGACACCCGCCCTGATAACTTAGGTGGACATAGAGGCTAACCTGATATAAGGAGCTTATTGGCTGGGCCTGACTCGGATGCTGTCAACCCTCCCATGTCACAGTTTACAATGTGAGAGTGTCGGAGATGGTCAAGCTCTCTTTTGAGCAACTCTTCCACAAGTACCACACTTCTCATTGGGGAACTGTGATAAGGCTTCTGGAGAATTCCAGGACTGGGGGGGGGGGGGGGAGAGAGACAGAAAAGCAGTGGCTCGGGAAAAACTGAATAGGAATGGCGAATGCTGCTCCCCTCCAAATCCTGAGATGATGGCTTCCTTTTACTAGGCAGACCTCTCTAGCAGATGCTGCTTTTTATTTCTTCCTGCCATCTGCTTGTGATGTGCTATAATGTGGGAGCCTACTCTTTAATACATGTCTGCACCTAATTCTGAATACAACCCTAACCCAACCTGTTACAATTCGAAATCACACAGTTTTGGAGGTGGGAGTAGTGCATTTGTAAAGGTTTTGGAAAGTGTTGGGGCACTGGAAAAATAAGTTGGCTGAGATAGAAGACTAAATATGTGACAGCTGGAAGGTGTCATAATTGCTGGAACACTCCCCCCCCCTTTCAATTTGTTGGGTTGTGTAAAATCTGTGGGCCATAGCAGACATTTTTTTCCCCTGCAGGCATTATGAGCAGAAATATATCCACTAAAACTTTCTGTTGGTTTGAAGGTGGCATAATTGGCATGGTTATCAGAGATTTCCCTGAATAAAACAAGGAGAGCTTGCTGGATCAGGTCAATGGCCCATCTAGTCCAACCAGATGCCCATGGCAAGACTGCAAGCAGAATCTTGAGTGCCCACCTGCAGTTGCTACCAACTGATAGTAGCCATTGACAATCTTATCCTTCAGTAAATTGTCTAATAATAATTTAAAGCCATCCCCCCCCAATAGGCCTTGAGGCACCCGGTTAGCCAGTGTTGGGTGTAGGGGGCGGGACTAAATCAGCTTATCTGGCACACTTGAACCCATGTTTTTGCTGGCATCCATCTGTCTTGGGAGACAATGGAAGAGTGTGGGATGCCTGCTTCTTCCCCCTAGAAGCCAAAGGCTCTCCCATCTTGAGACCTGTGCAGAATACTGGCTAGGGGACTGGTATGTGCAAAAAGGTAGTGTAGATGGTGGCAGAGAGCTTACTGTACTCAATTTGTCATATTCTTGGTTGACTTGCCTAAGCAAACATATCTTG